CAATCCCAACCAAAGTTCAAATGGACTCTAAAATTAATGCACATGAAAGGAACTAACATAATCTAATTTCAATACTTATTAGAAAGCTAAAGTAATCAAAATACTGTGGTATTGGCATGAGGATAGGCATACAGATCAATGAAACAGACTATATATATGGTTCAGAAATAGACTCACAGATCCATGCTCAATTATCTTTTGGCAAAGGTGCCAAGGTAATTCAATGAAGAAAAGATAATCTTTTCAACATATGGTTCTGGAATAAATGGACACCCTTATGGAGAAGAAGTGAATTCTGATGCTTATCCCACTCCATACAAACAAATTATTGGAAAGATCTGGACCTAAATGCAGAGGCTAAAATTCAAAAACTTCTATTTTTTTTTTTGTTAAAAACTTGTAAATGAAAGCACAGGAGAGATTATCTGTGATCTTAGGGTAGGCAAAGATGGCCTAGATAGGACACAAAAAGTATATAGGCCATAAGAGGAAAAGACTGATAAATTGAGCTTCATTAAAAATTTTTTTAATAACTTCTGCAGTTCAATAGACAGTACTAAGAAAACAAAAAGGCACAAGCTACAGACTGGAAAAATTATTTGCAGTACTTAATCTGACAATGGACTTGCATTCAGAATACATAGAGGATTCTTACATCTCAATAAGAAGATCAACAATCCAGTAAAAAAAATAAAAGGATAAAATATTTTAACATACTTCACAGAAGATAAACGATGAAAGGCCAACAAGCCCATGAAAAGATTCTCGACATCGTTGGTCATCAGAGAAATGCAAATTAAAATCACAATTAGATACCATACACCCCCCACTAGAATTGTTCCTAAAAAGACTCACAAACAAAGTGTTGGCAAGAATATGCAGCAACTGGAACTCTCCTGTTACTGTTGGGAATGTACAATGATACAACTACTTTGGAAAACAGTTTGGCAATTTCTTATGAATTTAAACCTCCTCTTACCGTACGTAACTCAGCCATCTCATTCCTAAGTATTTATCCAGAAGAAAGGAAAACATGTCCACACAAAAATTTTGTGCGTGAATGTTCATGGCAGCAAGCCCCAAACTGGAAGCTACCCAAATGTTCACAACAGATGAATGGATGAACAAAATGTGAGATATCTACCCAGTGGCATACTACTCAGCAATAAAAAGGAATGGATTACTGTTAGGCTCAATAACATGGATGGCTCTCAAAAATGCATTCTGAGTGGAAGAAGCCAAACACGAGAGAGTCCACACTTTATGATTCCATGTATATGAAACTTTAGAAAAGGCAGATCTCACCTACACTGAAAGCAAGCACGTTAGTGGTTGCCTGGGGACTGGAATGACTGAAGTGGGGCAAAAGGTAGCTTTCTGTGACAATGGACATGTTATATATTTTGATTGTGATTATACAAGCGTATAAATGTAACAAAATCTCATCAAGATGTACACTTTAAATGAATTTTACCACATGTCAATGAAGTTGATTTTTCAAAATGGCATGTTCAACACAATATTAGAGGAGAACAAAGTTGGAGGACTGACACTATCTAAGGCTCACTATATAGCGACCATAATCAAGAGTGGTATTTGTGAGAGAACAGACGAATTGAACAGAATAGAGAGCCCAGAAAGAGACCTACATAAATATGGTCATATGATCTTTGACAAAGGAGGAAAGGCCATACAATGGAGAGAAGAAAGTCTTAAAAAATGATGATGGAACTGGACATCCACAAGCCAAAAAAATGAATCTAGACACAGACCTTATAGCTTTCATAAAATAACTCAAAACAGATCAAAGACCTAAATGTAAAACAGAACTATAAATCCCCTAGTAGATAACAGGAAATAAGCCTAGATGACATTGAATATGGCTATGACTTTTAAGATACAATACCAAAGATCCATGAAAGAGATAATTGATAGGCTGGGCTTCATTAAAATTAAAAACTTCTGCTCTGCAAAAGACAATGTCAAGAGAATAGGAAGGCAAGCCACAGACTGGGAGGAAATATTTGCAAAAGACATATCTGATAAAGGATTATTATCCAAAATATACAAAGAACTCTTAAAATAACAGTAAGAAAACCGTCCAATTTTAAAAACGGTCCAAACACCTTAACAGATCCCTCACCAACAAGATGTACAGATGTCAGATTATCATATGAAAAGACGCTTCACATTATGTGTCATCACGGAAATGCAAAATACAACAATGAGATGTCACTAAACTGAAAATCCAAAACACTGACACCACTAAATGCTGATGAGAACATGGAGCATCAGGAACTCTTTATTCATTGCTGATGGGAATGCAAAGCAGTACAGCCAGTTTGGAAGACAGTTGAGCAGTTTCTTAGAAAACTAAACTGCTCTTACTATAGGATCCAGCAATCACACTCCTTGCTATTTATGCAAAGGAGTTACATCCACACAAAAACCTGCACACAGATGTTTGTAGCAGCTTTGTTCATAATTGCAAAAACATGGAAGCAACCTAGATGTCCGTCAGGAGGTGAATAGATAAGTACATTGTGGTACATTCAGACAATGGAATATTATTCAATGCTGAAAAGAAATGAGCTAATAAACCATGAACAGACACGGAGGAACCTTAAATGCATGATCAATGCATGATTCCAACCAGATGACATCTGGAAAAGGCAAAACTATGGAGACAGTAAAAAGCTCAGTGGTTGCCAGCGGTGGAATGAGAAGATGAATAGGCAGAACAAGAGTATTTTTAGGGCAGCGAAAATACTCTGTGTGATACCATAATTATGGATACATGTCATTATACCTTTGTCCAAACCCACAGGATGTACAACAACAGGAGTGAACTCCATTTATCACTATTACTTCCTTGGGTGTTGGTTTTCTCAGGTTAGTTTGGTGCTTCTCTTTCATGCTGTTACTTTTCATCAAATATTTGGTGATTCTAGTTTATGTAAATGTTAAATGGCATTGGAATTCTAGATTGATCATTGTTGGTTACTGAAGTGTATTTTCTCAGTAACAATTATCTCCGTATTTTCTCAAAATCCCTATTCTTTTTTTCTTGATCTTTTTCTCTCACATATATGCAGTTACAGACTTTTCTGTGCTCATGGGTTTCTGATCAGTTTGATTCCATTTGATTTATATTTTCAATAAATTTCTCACTAGCCCAGTTTACTGATTGTGCCCTTTACACAACTCAGTGCAATCATGGGTTTATTCTGATTTTAAAACTTTTGTTTCATTTCAGAAGAGAATGGAAAAGAAAAGTAAAATTCCAGTTCAGATTTTTTCAGTTTATGAAACAAAAATTTATCTTCCCCAACACATAAGTCATGGTTATTAGAAATAACAGATGCCTCTGAGGGATCCCCGCCCCCCACCACTGGCTAAGCATGAGCAGGACGTCACCTAGGGTCATTGTCATTGTCTAGATGAGATGCTAGTGATTCAGTGTCTGGGCCTCAAGTTTGCACATTCAATATCACCCACCTTATCATAATAGGCTAGTGTATAAACCCTGATGCCAATGTATTAATCTAAAACATAGTAGCTTACCCTTTCACTGACTTCACTTGTCAAACAATTAATTGCATGAAATTATATAAACAGAACTCCTTATTAGAATCAAAACACATTTTTCATTTAATTTTGTATACAGGTATAAAATAACAAAAACTCTTATTTATTTTATTATTATTATGTTATGTTAATCATCATACATTACATCATTAGTTTTTGATGTAGTGTTCCACTGATTCATTGTGTAAAACATTTAAAATTAATATTGTTAATTGTAGAATCACCAAATTAAAGATAGACTGTGCAAGCTATTCCTTGAGAAATAGATATGTCACAGAACTAGAACATTTTGCTTGGCCTGGCCCCTGACTTCCTTGTGTAGGCAGATGATCATCAGAAGCAAGATTATCATCACAAGGTGGTTTGGTAAACTTGGAATCAGAGCAAGAAGAGCTAGTGGAATGATTTCAGTGGTTAGTGCTTCGAGGAGCAGGAGAGTCACTAGTAAGGTGATACCTTTGTCTTAAGGAAGGGATCGTACCTACTAAGAGCACCACAGTCTCCCATCAGTTAACTGGAGTTTTTGCAGCCACAGAGAGCACAACACTCTGACAACTAATGTTGTCTACCTGACTCCCGTTTTCCGGTGTTTGCGTGCACTGCCTTCTGACCATATAGTTGCCAAACTTTACCTAACAAAAGTGGCATAACCAGCTCTGGGGTCTCCAGCTCTTAGAAGTCACTCTACCTTTCCCCCTTAATGATCCCACTAGGTACCCAGCACTGCATCTCCCGTTTGGGGGATATGGGTGTCCTGAGGTCTTACAGGGGTTTGATGGCCACAGACAGGTCCAGATAGACTGAGAAATACCTTATAGCATGGATATGTGCCTCCTGTAAGCCAGCAAGGAATGGGTGGAGTGTTGGGTGTAGACAGTCAATCCTTTTGGGTTCAGGTAACAAGAGGGTCTCTACTAGAGTTGAAGCCAGCCAGCTCCCCTGCCCCACCTTTTGAGATAAGAGTGATTCTTCAACGGCGCCACCAACTCAGCCCTCTGCTGACTTTACTTGAAAACTGGCTGCATGAAATGTATAAATAAGACTCTTTGTAAGAATGAAAACACAATTGCCCATTCAGTTATTTATGTAATGCCCAACAGGCTGAAATAAACACTTAAATCTAGAATAGTTAAGACACGATATTGGGTAAACATGGCAGAGCTTCCTTTGAGATTTCCTTTGGAGGATTTTCATTCCAAGAACGAGCAGAGCAGAATGAATGTCCCTCTGTCTTCCCTCAGACCAGCCTGCACACCCAGTGAGGTCAGGTAGGTCTACTTTGTTCTCCCGGCTCTCCTGCAAGAGCTAAAGGCGATCATGTTAGTAAAGCTGATGCTTGCTGTATGCGGGGTGCCGTTCTCAGAGCTTGATGAGGTCACTCCTTTAATAGAGAACACCTGTGCCTTTTGCAGCTGTGAAGATGACCTCTCCGAGGACAGAGAGGAGCTCCTGCATGGGATTTCAGAGCTGGACATCAGCAACTCGGATTGCTTCCCCTCCCAGCTGCTAGTGCACGGGGCTCTAGCCTTTCCCCTGGGGTTAGATTCCTACCACGGCTGTGTCATAGCGGCAGCCCGCTATGGCCGGGGCCGGGTGGTCGTGACCGGCCACAAGGTGTTATTCACCGTGGGCAAACTCGGCCCCTTTCTGCTCAATGCCGTGCGCTGGCTGGACGGGGGCCGCCGAGGCAAGATCGTGGTGCAGACGGAACTGAGGACACTGAGCGGCCTGCTCGCGGTGGGGGGCATAGACACCAGCATTGAGCCCCATCTGACCAGTGATGCGAGTGTCTATTGCTTTGAACCCGTGAGTGATGTGGGGGTCAAAGAGCTGCAGGAGTTTGTAGCCGAGGGCGGGGGACTGTTTGTTGGCGCCCAAGCCTGGTGGTGGGCCTTCAAGAACCCTGGAGTGTCCCCTTTGGCTCGGTTCCCAGGAAACCTCCTCCTCAACCCCTTTGGCATCAGCATCACAAGCCAAAGCCTCAATCCAGGGCCCTTCCGTACGCCTAAAGCAGGGATAAGGACCTATCACTTCCGCTCCACTCTGGCTGAGTTCCAAGTTATAATGGGCAGGAAGAGAGGGAACGTGGAAAAGGGCTGGTTGGCCAAGCTGGGGCCGGACGGTGCAGCTTTCCTCCAGATCCCCGCCGAAGAGATCCCGGCCTATATGTCCGTGCATCGGCTCCTGAGGAAGCTGCTGAGTCGCTATCGGCTCCCAGTTGCAACCCGAGAGAACCCCGTTATCAATGACTGCTGCAGGGGTGCTATGCTTTCCCTGGCCACTGGCCTGGCCCACTCTGGAAGTGACCTCTCTCTGTTAGTGCCCGAAATCGAAGACATGTACAGCAGCCCCTATCTGCGCCCCTCGGAGTCTCCTATCACCGTTGAGGTCAACTGCAACAATCCAGGTATGGAATGGGGGCAGAGCGCTCAGCGTGGGGTCCTGTGGGAACGGAGTCTGATGGCTTCAGAAGGCCATCTCCACCCTTGGCCATGCACTTTCAAGGAGATGGGGGTGGGGGTTTTAAGTAACATTTGCAAGAGTTGAGTCAGGGCGGCATGAAGGGAGAGAGCCGTGCAGAGTTCCCGAAGGGGCCGCGGATTTGCTGGACAGAGATAGCATCACAGAGTCTGTCCTTCCTGTGCTTTGGCAGGCACCAGATATTGCTGGATGAGCACTGGGCTCTACATTCCTGGAAGGCAGATTATAGAGGTCTCACTGCCTGAAGCTGCTGCCTCTGCTGATCTGAAGGTAAGGCCGTGCCCCATCTCCACATGACACAGAACCCAAATGTTCTGGCTTTCACAGTCGCCATCTTATTTGATCCTCATAAAAACCCTATTGGCAACGTGGGGCATGTACTTTTATCCCATTTTAAGGATGAGGCAACTGGGCTGCGGGTGCAGGTGGATTGAAAATTTCGATCTAGTACACCTAAAACTAATGTAACACTGTGTGTCCACGATACTCCAATCAATCAGCCAATAGATCTGATACATTTCAGAGCCCAGGACTCAAACCTAACCAACTCCTGGCTCTTAAATTTTGTGCTTTTCACTTATGTCCCAGAGTGGGGAATAAGAAAGACACCAAACAGGGGCGCCTGGCTGGCTCAGTCGGTAGAGCCTGCAACTCTTAATCTCAGGGTCGTGAGTTCAAGCCCTACGTTGGGCATGGAGCCTACTTTAAAAAATAATAATAAAAATTTTTTAAAACTAAAAAAACAAAAGGCACCAAATGGAGGGCGCCCGGGCATGCAGAAGCGTTCAATCAATCTCAGTTCCCTTTCGGTGCTCATCCAATCTCCCATTGGAGCACAGGGTCTTTCTGCCTCTTTCCTGTGACACCGAAGACTGTTCCTGGATCCCCTGGTCCCCCTTCAGCTGTCACTTCCTCTCTCACACACACACACACACACACACACACACACACTCTCTGTTCGAAAATTAAGTAGCCATCCTGCTCTGTCCCCCTGACGAGTCGTTGTGACAGGTAGGGTCTGTTCTGTGCCCTTGTTCTGGAACTTGTTTAGCATAAACCTGGGAGAACGATCCCAGGACTCCACCCAGTACAGGAGCTGCTCCATCGGCCCAGGAGGGGAGCCCTGGAGAACGGGAGGAACTGAATCCACCCTCCAGTTCATGAGCCAGTCACACTGCCTCCGCCTGCACCTCCTCCCCAGTCAGCAGAAGTCCCAAGTCAGCAAGATCCCCTCTGCCCCTTTCCCAAGGCCAGAGTCACCACAACGAAATAGGCAACCCAGGACTCTGTGGGTTCCAGAGACACCCAGAGGCCCTTTGTGGGAGTCAGCCCTCCTCAGCATTAGCCTATGGGCTACACCTGGTGCCCTTCACTTCAGTGTCTCAACATGACCCTGTGTGGAGCTGACACCCCAGGGAGGACATTTATACACGATTCGGTCCACACGGCCCCGAGGAATGATGGAATGGCATGGGCTAGCATGGGGTCATGGCCCAGTGACCTTTCCTGTCCCTACCTCCTGGGAGCCCTCCCTTTTTACCTGCACACACCCCGAGGTGACTCTTGGGGGGATCTCTCTGCTCCAGATACAGATCGGCTGCCACACGGATGACCTGACCAGAGCCAGCAAGCTGTTCCGAGGCCCACTCGTGATTAACCGGTGCTGCTTGGACAAGCCCACCAAGTCGATCACCTGCCTCTGGGGTGGCCTGCTCTATATCATCGTGCCTCAGAGCAGCAAACTGGGCTCTGTGCCCGTCACTGTTAAGGGGGCCGTGCATGCCCCATACTACAAGCTGGGTGAGTGGGAGCTGTGGGGTGAACCCCAAGGGAGTGGGAGAGCTGGGTTAGGAGATCATCTGGGGCTGTTTGGTGTAGGAAGAGAGAAACTCTGGGCTGGTAGAGGGGAGGAAGCTAAGTTTCCTTAGATTCAGCACTGGGGCCAAGGAGATGAAGACCAAACCACATTCTTGGAGACTTCCTAGAAGAAGGATCAAAGGGGAGATATGGTCACTCATGATCTCAGTGTTTTCCTCCTGGGGTTCAAGTTGGATGTTTTAACATAAGGGATTTGGGAAAGTGAGTTTCAAGCCCCATGGCCTCTCTTCCCAGGGGAGACCTCCCAGGAGGAGTGGAAGAGGCGCATCCAGGAGAATCCAGGTCCCTGGGGAGAGCTGGCTACGGACAACATCATCCTGACAGTGCCAACTGCCAATCTCCGCACGCTGGAGAACCCTGAGCCACTGCTTCGCCTCTGGGACGAGGTGATGCAGGCTGTGGCACGGCTGGGGGCCGAGCCCTTCCCTCTGCGTCTGCCTCAGAGGATCGTCGCTGACGTGCAGATCTCAGTCGGTGGGTGCTCTGTGCATGCTGCCCCTGACAGCCTTCCTTTCTTTCAACAGACAAGCAGTGGGCAGCCAGCATAGTAAAAACGTTTTTCTAGCAAGACATACAAGATGTAAGTCTTGCTATTTAAATGAAAGGGGGGAGATATGTATTTAAAAAAGTAGACTCGGCCAAATCCCCCAACAAAATAATTGGAAACTACCTAAGTACCCAACAGCATGGGATGGTTAAGTAATATATGGACAGACACTGAGGAAAATTTCTAAAGTGATATTTTGATGGCATAAGGAAATATGATGGGATTATGGGGCATGAGAAAAGTGGGCTGTGGAACTGTATGTGAGCAGCATGTGAAATGATGAAAAGTCTAAGTCGACATGTCAAGAGTTGTCTTCCAAAAGCCAGAAGAGCGCAGGAACGAAGTGCTAGGCTTTCACAGGAGTCCCATTGGGGGCTTCAAGGAGAAAGTAAAAGTGGTGGGGGGTCTCCGCCGGGGTCACAGTTGTTGGGAGAAGGAATTTAACAACGTTGAGAAGACACTGAATGAAGAGATCTCTGCCAGTGGGTCAAGAGCCTTACAAATCAGGGGGTGTGTAGAAATGAAAGAATGATGGAAATTTCTTTAGACCCCAGTTTTCTTGCCTTACGGAGATGATTACTATAAAGTAGCGTCAATGTGGGCAATACCATTTCTAAATAATAAGAAGGGGAAATCACCATCCAAGAGTTCTCCATTTTGAGAAAAGAATGTAATGAGACAGGTTCACATGACAGGACACCCTCACAGAAGTGAAAAAGCTGGAGAGTAACATGAAGCGCTGTTTGTAACGTGCGTCAGACCCATTACTGTCAGGCCAGAGTGAGGGTGGAGGCACAGTTACAGAAGAGAGGATCAGGGAGAGCCCTGGTGGGTCTTGTGTGGATTGCCCTTCTGAGCATTACGGGGTTCTGGAAGTCCTGGTAAAGACGGGTGGGGAGTGTTCTAACCCCTCTTCCCTCCTTCCTGCGTTCCCAGGCTGGATGCATGCCGGGTACCCCATCATGTGCCATCTGGAATCTGTGCAGGAGCTCATCAATGAGAAGCTCATCAGAACCAAGGGGCTGTGGGGCCCCGTCCACGAGCTCGGCCGCAACCAGCAGCGGCAGGAGTGGGAGTTCCCCCCACACACCACCGAGGCTACCTGCAATCTGTGGTGTGTTTACGTGCACGAAACGGTCTTGGGCATCCCTCGAGGCCGTGCAAATATTGCTCTGTGGCCTCCAGTTCGGGAGAAGAGAGTCCGAATCTACCTGGGCAAGGGTCCCAATGTGAAAAACTGGAATGCGTGGACTGCGCTGGAAACATATCTACAGGTACTGGGCAAGAAGGGAGGGGGATGGGAAAACCCGCTGGGGGGACCGACCATGCAACCTCGAGAGGAGACACCCTAGTGACCCCAAAGTGGACTTAATTGCCTCAGCTGCACCCTCACGCCATGATTTTGAGGAGATTCATGAGAGTAGATAGAAAGCACCAAGGCAGAGGCGAGGACAGTACTCTACAGTTACCATGGCTTGCTCTGAAGCCACACATACCGGAGACTGAAGCCCAAACCATGTCACGGAATAGCTATCTAACCCCAAACACCATGCCCACCCCCCGACACACACACGTTATGGGAGGCGACCCATCATTTTCCTTAGAAACTGCCTCAGTTTCTCCCTCAGAGGCAATCCAAGATGCCTCAGTGGCCTGCACATGAGGTTGCCTCTGCCTTTGAACTATTGTCCAGCACCCCAGTTCCCTCCCCCCAGTCCCTGGAGCAGCTCCCAGGCCACCGTGCAGAGTCTCACCACCTGGGATTCCGGAACTCAGTCTCCAGCCAGGTTCTTCCACCTGCCCGACTTCTTCTCTGTGTGTACCCACTGCCCCGAGAACAATAGCGAAACTGCCCGGAGACTCTAACCTTGTCGCTGGGGCCACTTCACCCCAGGGACAAAAGTTGCTCAGCTGTGAAATCCAGCTGAGGGTGTTTCAGAGAACTGCTAATGTCTGTCCTAACCTTAAAGCACCGTAACGCGGCCTCACACGGGCTTTTTCCAGGGGCCTCGGGCCAGCTGCCTTTTCCTAAAATGATGCCTTACTTAACTTCATTCCAACCACCTAGACTATACATCATCTGTTTCTACCGGACTCACTTTTTTTTCCTAAAGGCCATGTCAGTAGCCTTTCAGATTGGCACAGACCTGTGACTGATGCAGGTTATGTCCGGGTAAGCGAGAGGGGGATACTTCTCCTGTTTTGGGGGTTTAACTTTGCAGCTGTGAAATATACAAGGATTTTTTTCACTTCAGTCAGCTTTAAATTCTTGTGTGATATCCTGTCGACACTTTCACGATGGAATGAGCTACCACCTAATGACATAGGTGGTAAATACTGATAATAATCCTGACAGTGATTACCACAGCCATCCTTTATTGAGTGTCTGCTCCATGCTGAGCACCTCACTAGCTCAGAGGCCCCATTAAGATAAGACAGAGAGAGGAGCCCATGAGGCCAGCAGCTAGAACTGCAGAGAGGGCCAGTGACAGAAATGAAACTAATGTTTTGGGGGGTGAAATACATTACATTAATTTATTATAGTGTTTTTGGGGTCTTTCTGTGGATTAAATGTCTCCTCCTGCTGCCCCTTTCTCTCCCCAGCTACAGGAGGCCTTTGGTTGGGAGCCATTCATCCGTCTCTTCACTGAGTATAGGAACCAGACCAACTTGCCCACAGATAATGTTGACAAAATGAATCTGTGGGTGAAGATGTTCTCCCACCAAGTGCAGAAGAATCTGGCTCCGTTCTTTGAGGCCTGGGCCTGGCCTATCCAGAAGGAAGTGGCTACCAGCCTGGCCTATCTGCCTGAATGGAAGGAAAATATTATGAAATTATACCTCCTCACACAGATGTAAGGAGTGCCCAGCGAGGTGGCAGGTAGAGAGGTTTGGGGAGGTAGGCAGAGACGGGGATTCATTCCTCGACCTCTGTCTCTTAGGGTTCTAGCCTTGTGCTCTCGGCTCATTGCCCCCGTATCTTAATACCTAGTAGTTCTAGCTCTAGGAAGTGGGTTAAGAACACAGCAAAAAGGGGAATCAGAATTTCTTAGGAGCAAGGCCTTCTGTTTATGAGTCTCATTCCTCTGCTCTCAGCTATCAGATTCCCTCCTGGCCCTATTTTGGCCTGGTTCTGAGAGCTTTGGCATCTGCCTGTATGCCAGCCCTTGGTTCACCACTATGGACCATGGCCCTTGGGGGTGGTCCTCATCCTGACATCCTGAGGACTCTCTGGGCTTTTGTTTTTGACCAGTTGTTCCAAAAACCTGATCATAGAATCCACTGAAACACAAATTTACCAGGATAACCAGACAGTTCCTTGATATTCTGTGTCTAAGGTAGTTTTCAAAGAGCTTGGAAAGCAGTCTGGTGTAGTAGAAAGAGCCCATGGCTAGCGTTAGCTCTTGGGGAAGTCATTGTATCTCTACTCACATTTCCTTGTGTGTGAGCTGAGGACAAAAATCCCTGCCTCCCAGGGTTGTCGTGAAGACTCAGACTGACAGTTCTGAAGAGGTTTGTGAACGTAGGGATTCTTCTAGTTCTGCTGGTCCCCAGAATAGTGAGCTGAGTACTCCCCTTCTCTCGCCATGGCCTGGAGGTTAAGACCATCATCTCTAACAGTAGACTCCCTGCATCCAAAGCCTGGTTCTTTCACCTGTTAGTCACATGACTCTGGGCAAGCTCCTCATAAAATGGGATCTATTTCATAGAATTATTGTGAGGATTAAATTTTAGTCCTTCTAAAAGGAATTAGAGCAGTGCCTGGCAGTTGGTAGGTATTGAGAAAGTGCCAGGTGCCTTTATTACTAATTGGCATTAATTAATCATCTCAGAACTAGACTACCCTTTTACATGGCATTTACGGATGTGGTGTGATCCATCCCATCCCATCCTACACTCTATACACCAGCCTCTCAAAGGACTGGGGTCCATTGCTTTATGAGCTCTAGGATCTACAGGATCCACGGGCTCTAAATTCATAGTGGGAGTCTTACTAGCTACTTGGGGTTTGGTCTCTTTATTCAATTCCGTCTTTCAGGTAAAATTCCTTCTTTGATTAAATCAAGAGTGGAAGTCACTTGAAAAATCAGAACAAATCCATGAGGGCGTTTGTCTTTAGCAAACAATGGGCATCTGACTTAGGGATGGTGTTTATGTTTCTGTAGTGACACAGATTCCCATCACTGCCCAGAATTCCTTACCAGTTTGGCAGATAAAGTCCACACACAGAGAGAAATTTGACTTCAGAACCAGATAACTGGATACGACTGACCCAAATTTTATTTAATTACAATGCAAAGATTTTCTCAAGTTTTCTTCTAATCTTATTCAAAACCTCCCATTTCTGTGTAATTTTAACTAAAGTTGAGGCTCTGGGATTAAAGCGCACATCCAGTTTTCCTTTAGACCGCTTATATTTATTTGGATGTAGTTGTTTCAATACACTATTTTATTTGCTTTATTAAGAATTGGGTGGATGCAGAGACAACAAGATTTGACCTAGAGAATGTTTTTCTGTGGATTCCTTTATTATGTAATTTCTTAATCCTAGAAGTCTTTTCCCTTATTTCATGAATATCTATCATCTAGATGCTTTAAACATAGATGATGTTGGATATTCATTCAACATTTGAAAAAAATTCTATTGATTAGTTAGAATTCTATCAATTAGATAGTATGTGCCAAATACTGTACTTGTTCTTTTATATAGATTGTTTAATTTAATCATCACAATAATCTTATGAGATGGAAATTTATCGCTCCCATTAGGAAGAAGTGAACTGAATTTTACAGAGATCAAGTAAATTGCCTAAGTCTACACTGCTAGTAAGTGGTAGACCTGGGATTTAAACCTGGGCACTCTGATTACAGAATGGGTGTTAATAACTACAGTGCTTTGAATATGCAAATAAATGAGTAAATGAAGAAGCCAGCCAGCAAACAGAAGGACCTTTATGTCCCTACTTGCCAGCACTTTGCCTGCTTGTACTCACTGCTCATCCAGTTTTATCAGAACAGAAAGTCCCTTTGTTCCTCCCAAATACCAGTTAAAAGGAAGAACTTGAGGTAGACTCCTAAGGTACGTCCCAAAGACACTGACCCCTTTAGCATCATCCAGGTCTTTCAGATCCCAGTTTATTCAGGTTTCATTTATCATCTCTAGGGCACCATGAAAGCATTCTAGTAGGATACTGGGTTTTGAATGATGGGTTATTTTGGTAAAGTGCCTGACTCCCAAAAGTCCCAGACATTGCATGTTCTCAGCAAGGAAACCAGATTCTTAGTCCTCTAGAATAATATTTGTACCCATCCTGGCCCTCTTTAGTTCATTTTTAGCATTATGGCCCTGGGGACCTTCTTAAAATAGGAAGCTATTCATGTCACTCCCCTGTCTGAAAGCTTCCAGTGGGACTTCGAATATAAGATGATGAACTGAGCATATAAGTTTACCTCCCCTCCCTCCCTAGGCCCCACTGAAATTGAAGTCAAGAAATGCAAGAGAGAATTGACACATCTCAGCAAAGAAAACTAAACAGATTTGATTATAACTGAAGAAGATCTCAACACATTCCTGGAAGAGAGAAAGTGGATGAAGCATGAGAATGAATGAAAGAGTGAAGGTATCTTTCACACAGAATAGAAGCTGATCTGAATAACATAATTCCAAAGAAACATGAGCACCTGAAAAGTCTACAAAGAGTTATACCAGTTGTAAAATTGAATCCCATCTATTCTGCCCCAACCATTGTGCATAGAATACAGGCAGTCTATAATTGGTATCCATTACAAATCTATTGTTCTTGTTGTTGTTTGTATAGAAATTGAATAAACTGCCTGAGGAGAGATAGGAGTTGGTGCCCCAGAATAACATTTCTCTTTTTGTGGAAATAAGTGACCCCCTAGCCTATTGGCTAATCCTCTGAATGTTGAAACCCCTCCTCAAGTAACCCTAGTGCTTCTAGTCCTAGAAGAGGCTTACTGGAGAAACAGATCCAACCATACGCTGGCAGAAGACACCCACACCAACTCCTGTAAAAGTTAACAGCTATATTGATTCTTAAATGAAAACAGTCAGCTAGGAATCCCCAGTCTTTGGGCATCGGAGGGTGGAGGAGGAGGAGCAGGGGAGAGGCATTTAAGAAAAATAACCAGTTAGAATTAGGATGCTTGAAAAATACAACAAACTCTAGAGGAAACAAAGTGAACATGGAAAGAATAACTTTAAAATCTGTATCTTCAGAGAGATTTGAGGTGTATTTGTAAGATGAGTACAGAATGCTACACAGAAAGGAAAAACTGAGAATAAAAGAGCCCTTGAAAGTGAAATAAAACTGCCCAAAGTATTCAGTGGACAGGCTGGAAAATATAGTTGAGGGAAACTCCTTAGATATAGAACAAAAAGAAATAGAAAAAAATAAAGAAAGGAAAAGATGTAGACAATCAATATCTAAGCATTAGGACTTTCTGGAAAAGAACATAAAAAAATATAGGTGAAGAAATAAAAAGGACAAAAAATGAAGAACAGAAAGAACCACATCTCCAGATTGAGGAGCCCCAATACAACCTATATCTAGACACAATCTTGTGAAATTTTGGAATATTAAGGATACAGGGAAGATATTAAAAGTGCCCAAAGAGAAAATAAAGTTGTCATCACAATTAGCTCAACTAAAACAGGAATAAGAAATAGACTGGCAGCAGATTTTTCATTAGCAACACTGAATGCTAGAAGCCAGTGGAGCAATTTCTTCACTTACAGAAAATTTTTGTACTCAGAATAACATAGCAAGCCAAACTGTCAAGAGTAGTGTCAAAATAAAGACCTTTTCTGACATGCAAGTTTTCAGAAAGTCTACCTACTTTGCACCCTTTCTGAGAAAGTACCTTGAAGAGGTTCTCCGACAAAATGATGAGGAAAACTGGGAAAGAGGAAAAAATAGAATCCAGAAAACAATGGATCTCACCCAGGATGCGTCACTCTAGCAGACCCATTTCAGATGAGAGTACACAGTCTCGGGCTCTTCGGGGAAAGTATGCATTCTGTTCCATAGATAGTTTCATTGAGAAGCTGGAATGTTTGAGTATATGGAGGACATGCATTCTTTAGTCAGCAAAAAGAAAACAGAAATATGTCAAGACATTCGGGTCCAATTGTGAAACAACAACAAAAACTCACGGGATGTAAGAAGAGACTCGATTGGACATTGGCGGTAGGTACCTCTCCTTACAAGTGGCACGGGCTCCATGAACACTGGATATGTACGGGAGAAAATGGCCTAGCTTCTACTCAGCTCTCAGTAAACATGATTTACTTAGCCAAAGTAATGCAGATGCTGTTTGTTGGTGTTCAGTGTTCTGATCAGCCTAGAGACAAAACATGAAAGGCTTACTGTTTTATTCAGGAGTGAAACTGAAAATAATTAATTCTGACAAATTAAGAAACAAGAGAGCAGAAAGAGGTTGAGAATTGATTGGGGGAAGAGAGGTGTCAGGAAGAGTGTGGCTTCTTAGATATTCACAGTGGGAATGAGAAGATAAAGTCTGCAGCTAATGGAACAAGAACCGGAGGATAGTATATTGTCCAGAGTTATAAATTAAATCAATAGAAGTCTTAAATATGGCATATCTATCAAAAATTTGGGAAAGGATAGGCATAGGAAAGGTGGGGATAGTGTAAGTTAAATCCTTATCTTTTGTAATGGGGAATTATTAAAGATTGTCTAAAGTTAATAAGTCAAGAATTATTGTTCAGACATATTATTTAACGTTAGCAAGTTAGTCAACAGAAGATCTAAAAATAGAAATTGTTAAATGCATTGCCTCTAGGGAATGGGTCTAGGGTTAAAAGGGGTGGGGTGGGAAACTGTGTTTTTCATTTCAAGTCCTTCTGTACTATTTAATTTTTTACCTTGTGCATGTATTTGAAAAATTTTTAATAAACTCAAATAAAAATTCTTCAGTGACCTCATATTGACTAAGATATGCCCCCAACCAAAACCCTTAAAATGGCCTATGATGCCCTCTGATATTTGGATCCACCTGATGTGTCCAGGTTCATCGTATCTCCCCATTACTCTCTGGTTCTAGCCATACTAAATATCTTCCGGCTATTCACACTTCACCTTCTCGTTTCTACAGGTGTTCCACAAAAAGCAAAGCCTGCCCCTGATCTCACCATGTATCTGAGATTAAGCTTACTCTCTAGCAGATTTTCAATATTTGTTGAGTGAGGGAACACTCATCAGGTGTTGCATGAAGATGGCCAACCAGTGTTCCTTCCCAAGAACGCATATGATATTTGTCCCTATTCCAGGAAGCATTTCAAGATCATAATCGGTTTGTAAGTTTGCCTGTATTCCTATTCATCTGATAATTTTAGAAAGTTTTAGTCCTATATGAGACCAGATGGTGTCAGAGGATTTCATCCATCAGTCTCCTTGTTATATTCCTTGCCACTTTGCTTGAACATCATAATCTGCTTTCTGCTGTTTCTCCCCCTCTCTTCCCCCACCATATTTTGGAGAAGCAGTCAGTTCTCAAGGGGAGACCTTCAGGCTCCCAAATTTCTTGTGTCTTGCTATTCCTAGTCTCTTGGTGGCTCTTCCTTCTCTGCTAGTTTACTTTCTTCTATTGTCTAACTCCCAAGGCCAGATAGAGCTTCCTAAGGAATATTGGCCTTACATCCTTAAATATTGGCCTTACAGATCAGTCTGATATATTTAGCCCCTAAACCAATGTCCCCACCTGATGTCCCAACCCCATCTAATATATATATGCCTAGCAAGCCAACAGGTAACCAGATATGGCCTTAGATGTTGACTATTTTTGCTGACAAAAGTAACACATGCTATCCCTTCTTCCAAGACTGCATCACATCTGTGTTCTTTATTCCTTCAAAGCTGTTGGACCCCTGCTCAGCTTCCATTTTGAAAAGGATTTCCTTCTTTGACCCTCATCATTGAAGTCAATCTTCCAAGTGTCGTAGAGAAGAAGTGATGGGTGTTCCTCTACTTTTCAGACATCTTCTAACTACACACACACACACACACACACACACACACACACACACACTCCACATCTAATTCAAGAGAGCTATAGAAATGCTATTTATACATGTGGATTCTTATACATTTGAATGCCATAAAGAAGCATTTCTTTGTGAGGAAAGGTTGTGTAGATTAAGTTACTGTCAATGTTCTATCCTCATGTTGGATGGTTAGTTTTATAGTATTCAGCATATTAGGAAAAAATAGATTAAATGAATGAGTAAATTAAAAAAAAACAAAACATGCATTGACCAGTGATGGCAGTACCAGGAGCCAGGGATTATGTTAACACAAATATGTGTACATGAGGGCCATTAAAATGTTACTATTGTTCATCTGAACTATAAAGGAACTCAAATATACATAATTAAGGAATACATACATGTAGGTACTAAAAATTTCTTTGCATGAACTGCCTATATTTTGACATAAAACTCACTTTCACAGACTGCCAAAATTATTTAGTATAATTTTGAGATCTGAAATAATATAGGTGAGAGGGAAACAGTAAGGGTGGGAGCTAGGAGGGCAAAATGATCAGATGTAGAACATGAAAACAATGAAATCACAGACCCCGTAGACACAGGAGACAGCCCTCCCTTCCTCAATACAACCTGTAACCCAGGGCCAAGTACATATAACAGGCTATACCTATGCCTCATACTGTTCTCTGCAAAGCGTCTGTGCTTTAAATAAGAGCCAAGTACCTGAAAGAGTTCACAAACTCTCCCCTCAGCCTCCATCAGGATGGAGAGAGGCAACTCCAACTTTTGGTTTTGTTTTTTTAACATGGAATTTCTCCTTTTGTTCTTGCTGTCAGAGCAGCCTTGAGACCAAACTGTTACCAAGGAAACAATACTAAGCGTCAACCAAGGCTTTTGACATTTATTCACAAGACTTGTGGCACTGTGAGCTTGTCCATTGGTAACAGTTAAAGCCTAGAGCAGACTTAAGTCTCAATGCTCATAGGAAACTGAGATTAAACTATAAAAAGGCAAACAGCTGACTCGTGTCAGTAGGGTTGGAGTGACCTTTGGATAATGCCTAGTGGATCTCTGGTACTGGATAAAGAAGAGTATTTAATGGGATGGGGAGGAGAGAATACTCTCAGGTATGACAGATGATGGTATTCATGCCCTCCAGCCAAAGACCACCAGTAACACACCTATAGTTGGACAAGTTGGATCCCAGGAAACTGGGGATCTCAGTAAAAGTGTGTTAAAAGAAACTGCTAGAGAATTTGGGCTTTGGGTGGATAATTTTGGGGAGAGTCTAAGAAAGCAAGGGTATTCTATGATTGTCTCAGTAAATGTCGTCTATTGGTGGGGATGACTGAAGTGCCCATAAAGCTATAAATGGTTTCTGAAAAAGTGGCAGGTCCTCATTTTAGACAAGAAAGAGGGATATTTGGTATTATGTGGTTGCCCAGGGATCTTGTTCTTGTCTTGCTTGATCATGCCGTCAGAGTGCTCTTGTTTGATGTGGATGTTCTACGAAATAGTTCATGTACAAAGGGGAAAAACAGTGCCTAGCTGTGAGTGTGTCAGACAAGCACCTGCATGTCAAGAGCTGCTTTTGTTGTCTTCCTCAGCCCAAAAGAATGAAGAGCCGTTGTTCCTCTTACACAGTATTAAAATCTGCATTCCTCTTGACTGAACGTGGGGATAAATTGGGGAAAAAATTAGTATCACAAGGTACCCAAGAGTGACCCCTGCAAAGGATGACTCCCTAATGCTTCCCTAGACAGGATGTTATAACTTGGTTATAACTCAAAATGAAGTTGGGAGCACAAGTCAATGCTAACGGGTCACTTCCTTATTGTCTGAAACCCCCCCTTCTGAATGTAGATGCCCTGAGCCATTCCCAGGAGGAACAGAAAGTAGGCTTTAGGGCAGCAGTTTGCTTTCACCTAGCAGGAATAATGTAACAGTAATATACCTTCGCAATAAATGTGTAAATGCACTTGCTAATTGAGTCACACAGAAAAAAGCTGGAATTTAAACCGAAACCAAAGATGCCTTTACATTAGATACATAATGCTTGGCTAAAAGGAGTAGCGGAAGCCATTTTCTCCTGCGCTCAAACTCCCCTTTTTGAATTTACAGTCTCTTTGGGATGGAGAGTAAGGTAGTAAAGATCTAGGGCCTCACGGAATCTTAAATATTTTTTAGCACAAAACTAGATGAAGCCACTAGAAAAAATACTTTCCCAAGTTAAATTAAAATCCTTCATGTTTTATCTGCCCTCTTTTAAGAAATGTTCATGGAAAAGTTTCCTAAACGTTCATAAAATCATCATAAAATTTTTATAAAATCTGTAAGAGGCATGTCCCACATCTGGGCATCCCCTTCCAATCAGGTCATTGGGTCACCTATAAATTCATTCAATTAACATTTATTGAACACCTACTACAATGCTAGTTACTGTCAATAGGGTCTAGAAATACACAATAAACATAATAAAGCACCTGCCCTCATAAATATTCCAGTTTGAACATTAAAATGAACAAATAGGGGTGCCTGGGTGGCCCAGTTGATTAAGCCTTTGGCTCAGATCATGATCTCAGGATCGTGAGATCGAGTCCTGGGTGGGGCTTTGCGCTGGGCATGGAGCCTGCTTAGGATTTTCTTCCTCTGCCCGTCCCCCGTCCCCTCCGATGCACACACACATACACACACACTTACTCTCTCTTTCAAAAAAAATTTTTTTAATGTAAAAAAAATAAGACACCATTTGTTACAAAAACAAAATAAAATAAAATAAAATAAAATGAACACATAAACATGTATCAAGTATGATACGTGCTATGAAGAAATATAAAACAAAATAAAGTTAGGGAAGTGAGCGTTCTGGTGGGCGGGGGGTGGGTACTGGACAAACAGTATGTTTGTCATTTTATG